TCTGCCATACTAACTCCCCTGATCAGATTGGGTCAAGTGGCACCGTGACCTTTGTCGTGATTACGCGTTAGTGATGTTAGGGTAGTCCAAATGCTCGGGATGTCGATTCCGTCGTTTCTGTTGAAACATGCAGAGTGGATGTTGATGCCATAACTTCGGCATACGAGTGTTCAGTGCTTGTTCGAAATCCAAGTTGAAGTACTTTCGGGTTGTCGTAGTCTATGGTGTGACCTTCGGCTATGGCGTGAAGAGCGATTGTTGAGTCTCGTTCTAGTTTTGCCAGAGTTGTTTTGCCCGTAGGACGATGTTTTTCTTTCCTCTCATGTTCAGTTATTCTTGTCTTGAGTTGTCTACTGGTCTGCTCAATGTGTTCTTTGGGGTATTCTTTACAACTGATTTTGTAAATGCAGTTGTTTCGATCTAGGAAATCTTTTTTACCCTGTTTTTTCATACATTGTCACCTCAAAAACCAATCCCCAGGCAAGACAAAATGTTGCAGATAGCATGGCATGCGCATACATAGATCATTTTGATATCAATGGAATAAAGCATTGTGTAAACCAAGAGATACACTGTGGTATTCACAACTATGAACACCACCGGCTACTGCAACATACTTTTCATCTCTCCATTCATTGTTCCTTGATCTTCCGACCACTGCCGACGTTTCTCCACCATACGCGATTCAGTTCGAGCACAGTGCTCTTCCATGCATTGCTTCTCCTGTTCCAAAGTGGCACACTCCTGTTCCGCTCGACGCAACCGTTGTTCCAGATTAGCATGAAGCATACGCACTGTGATGCGTGAGATGAATATAAAGGGAGGATCGGGGAAGAGATTGATATATATGACGATATATATGACAACGTCACGCCTTCTAGTCCGGACAAGCTTCGTAATTGTTCGGTCGAAAATAATCTCATCGCTCTCTCAGAGGTTGGTTGAGGCCTTGTTTTCGGGACCAAGACATGCTCTCATAGAGCGAGGACATCTACTAAACTCTCCCTTGGGGAAATTCTACTCAATACCGTTGCGTGGTGGGGCTGTTCCCCTAAGGTGGGACGCAGAACAGCCTATATCTGATGGATGAGCCAAAGGCGGTTAACTCAACTATGGGAACCGGAAAACCCTGATTTTAAACCTTATACGGAGAGTAGGTTAAACTAGATCCAAACCATTCTAGTTGCGCTAGCTAATAGCTAATCGGGTGTCCAATGGGTTGTAATTTTCACACACATACACAAGGACACGATGGCTAGGCTTCGGCAAACCAAAGGACCTGGACGTGAAATTCCCCAAAACGCCCAGCTGCTTTGGCTTGTACAAGNTGTACAAGCTGGTAATACTCGGTTGGACCTTGAGTACAATTTCAACTCGTTTTTTTTCTAACACCGAACCGATATCCTGATTTGTTTGAGAGAATATCTGAACCCAGTTTAATGGCAGGAGAACTGTCGCAAGATAGTTATGCTGTTGCAGAAATGCCTCTGATTCAGTCAATTCTTGTTCTAATCTCGTCTTTCAACACTGTGTTAAGTGGACATATTTTTTGTCTGTGTCTTATTCACCGACTGTATTACCGAATTAAACTGACAACGTTTGCGTTTTCATTGTTTATTTTTTCAAACGTTCGGTTAGACGTCCAAACTTCTCATCTGAGAGGCTCCAAATAGGTCTACTTCTTCCTACTCAGTCCTTTTGCAGTCGCTAAGTCAAGTGTTGGCTTCACACGAACTCAAGAAAATGGATACGAAAAGTCTAGAACACACGTTCGATGACGCAACAAAGTCCACTATACGTAAGGAAGACCGACGACCAGCTTTGGCAGCCGTGACGGTTGCAATCGAGGAAGCTGTTTGTGTGTGATACTGGAACAGGAGGAGTTCAGTGAACGCTTGTTCATTTGGATGCGCGAACTGCGCCGAACTCTTGAAAGATAAATTACCGGGAAAAATGCCTCGATCTGCGCGTTGATACATCGAGTTCCATTAGAGCTTGTCCGGATCTTATTAATTTGTTGAACTGCCTGAGAATTAAGCAAAATAAAACTTTTCACAGGATAGAAAAACCTTGTCTCACAGGATGTGGAAAAGTAAGAATAGCGACCAAAAGAAAGCAACACAAAAAACCGACACATACTTGCATCGTCTTTCACTCTTAGTTGCGTTCGAATACGTTCGAACGTGTTGCGAATCTTTCCGATTTCACTAGTCACATTCGAATCCCGTGATAAATGAAGAAATTTGGATCGTATGCGAATGATGGTATGCCTTAGAGAATCCAACTGGATCCCCGTCAAATCGAGCTGACCTCTGGAAAGCACAAAATGAATGGTTGGATTTCGTTTTCTTCCGAGAGAGAGAGAGATTGGACAATCAACACCTATCTATATTGACCTGATTTTTGAAAGCGAAAAAAGTACACGTGATTTTGGAAAGTTTGCGGAAATACTAGCGAACTTCAGCGTGCATCGGCATTCAGATTATGATACCTCATGAGTGACTCAGATCATATGCTACTACGTAAGCTTGAAAAGTGATGCAAGAAATTCGGTCAGTCAATCAGTGAGGCAAACGGGAACTGGGAGACGGACAGATTCTAACCGGTTGGGCCGATTCCCGGGACTAACTAAACAATGCGTGTAAGTATTCATATCTCAGCTTGATGGTACAGTGTGAAAACCGAATTCCAACCGCGACGCTAATGCACCCCATTTTTGGGGGCCCCTAATCCAACACAAGAAATCGGAACATACGTGACACAAGAGTGTTGATCGGATCCGGGTTAACGATTTATTGAATAGTCCTGAGAATACATGAGTCGACTTAGGTAGTAGGCAGCTTTGTTGTCGTCCTGTTTAATACCACGCCTAAATCCCAGCAGGACCTTATGTGGTTTTCCACTCCAAGTCCCGGGGTTAGAATTACCGATTTCTACCACTGAGCAGTTAGTTTATCTACGTGACTATGGGGTTTACCCTGTCTACTGTATATCACACTAATGTATACAATAAAAACAAAATGAAGTACAGAGTTGCAAGTTGAAACAACTAGATCATGGATCTTATACAAATAATAATAATAATAATAATAACCCTTTTAATTTCGTAGCAATCACTGTAAGAATGCACATTTCATTTGCCGAAAAAAACCGATGGAGTTAACCACGGCCTGTCAAAAGATGCGACCACGCTGGAAGATTTCGGTGATGATCGTGAAGTGTGAACAATTGACAAGTGAACTGATGCAATGGCTATCCATTCTGGATAATCATAACCGTAAAGTTCCGTTATTCAATATCTATCTGTACTGGAATCCATATTGCTGTCAAGAACTGCTGACTTTCGGTAGCTGACTTCTTTGGAATAGGTACATAAGAAGAAATTGGTCAGATTTAGTCGTTGTCACGTGAATGCTCCTCGGTCTGAGATTCCGGTGTTTTGGAACCGTGCCACTGTCACCCAAATTTGCTGTCATCGAGTTCAATACTGCAGAATAATGTATCCATGCTTTAAGCATTTCGTTTCTTTGAATCCCAAGACTTAGGTCAGGCAGTTTGTCAGCTGAGTGGCGTGTTAGGCCAAAGCTGCGAGTTAGCAATTTGCATTGTTAGCAACCCCGTTACAGCTTCCTGATAATCAATAGAAAGCAAGGACCATTGAGATCAATCACAATGAGACCCACACATCCATAGACCAAGTGGAGTCGATGTACACCTTAGTTATTCCGTTTGATTCCTCCTATAATAAGCTTACAAATGTTTTCGTGGGCTTCTTTCCGTCTCAATATCATGAGCAAGAAGAAACATCATGATCACAGCATGTGTGGTAATCTCATCAGATGTGTACATAAATTCAGACCACATTTGATTAAAATAGTGACACGTGTGCGGACAGACGAACGCACACGAGGAAAAGAAATCAATCAATACGAAGGCCAAAGGTCGCTAATTCGAACCGGATTGGAGATAGGGGTAGGGAGCAGAATCAATGCTTGGTTCATATTAGTGACCTTTGACTTTCGAATTGATTGATTTCTCTTCCCCGTGTGCGTTCGCCTGTCCCCAAACGTGATCTGAATGTGTGAACACAGCTGATGAGATTACCTAGAAGTGGTTGAGTTCAACACATCTTGTGATCATGTTGCTTCTTCTTGCTCTCATGAATTTGTTAAAGGGAACCGATTGCATGAAAGAATCTCAATCGTTGAGTTCTTATGTAATTTTGTTTACCGGAGTATGAATACTATAAAATTACTCCAATCGGTTACGTGACGATACAGAACAACCATCTTGGCTACCGGAGCCACATTGATTGTCCTCACTAAGTGGTCAACCGTGCCATCAGCCAACCTACTATGTAAACCATCAGACCGTGAACTAACAAATGCCGTCTTCTTCATTTGGACCCGTTTTATTTATTATTGTTATGGGGTGATAAACAACACGGACAATGGTAATTGGTGGCCTTGATTTTGGCGAAGATGAACGAAACTCTGCCGCATCATTTACCTTGTACTTGTCAGTTCTTGCATGCACCGCCTCTCCGTCGCGGCGGCGGTCTCCACGGCAGCAGTCAAGTCATCCACT